AAAAAAAATAAGAGAGTTATCTCTTATTGTATAGATTATCATATAATGTATCAAAAAATATTAACTTTTCTAATTCAAATAAGATATACAACAATTGAACCGGGTCTTTAGAACTAATGGTTCACATCCAAGCTTTAAAATGTTTGTGTGAGGTGGTCGGAACTTCGAGTTCTATCATCGTCTTAAAAACTCTCTTCTCCCATCCCCCAAGTTGTACACTGTTCAAAAAAGATATATAAGGATTGGTATATATCTATTTATTTAATATATTGTTTTTTTTTTTTTCGGTAAAAAAGGAGATAGCATAGATAATTAACTAAATACAGAAGTCCTGGGAGTCATAAATCATAATCCCAATAATATCCGAATACAAAAGATTACAAAGACCGGAGGGACATTGATTCAGCACAACAAAGGGAGAGTCCGACTTTGTACCCTTCTTAGCCAACCAGTCAGCAACATTGTTGGCTTCTCTGAACACATGTCTAAATTGGATGCTGGCGACTTGGGACATCATAGCCCTGCAATATATTGTTAATATTTAATTATAACACCACATGAGATTATAAATTTATAATACCATGTAAATTGTAAGTTTATATATATTATATATATCCATTTATTTAATACAATATTATTAATTGTAAGATTACAATTACAATCATATGTGACATTAAATGAAAATAACATGATATTAAATAAATAAATGTATAAAATATCAAGCGTGAATTCTTTAATGAAAAGAATTAATTATATAACAATATATTATGTTATAAATTTATAATATTATATGATATTATGATTATAGTAATTTTAATCAATATTATAATACCAATTAGGTAGTCAGATTTATAATAAATTTATATATATATATGTTTTATTTTCATAGTTAAAAGATAAAAAGCAATTACACAGTAAATTGAGCTACACAGAATTTAAGGAGTTGATATAGTAGTAGAAACTAACCGTTAATTGACTCACTGCAAAATTCAAATTAATTAGAGTGAATTATGATTAGAAAGGAAGTGATCCATTAGGCGGCGTCCATTTAACGCATAATAATGGTGGAGAATACCACAAATTCTTGTTTTTGTTTTCCATTATATCCCATGTTTAACACGCTACAACTCCATTATTGTGCCGCCTAGTGACATTTCTTTGAAAACATATAACCCACGTTTGAAGTTTTGGTAGGTGTGGCCCATCTGGTGTAAACAGTTAAACGATAATTTTTGCTAGCGAAAGTAATAAACTTTAGGTTAGTATCATAAATATACAACTAACGATATGTTAGTTCGAATGGAAAAATTTTGGTTTTTCTAAAATAAAGTTTCGAGTTCGAGTTCGAATTTTGTGAATGAAGAAACAGGTATTGGAAGAGTTTTTTCCCTAATAAAATCTTACGCAACTCAATTCTAAATTAATCGGATCCAATGTAATTACTGAATATCAGAAAATTAATACAAAAAAGTATCATAAATATACAAATAATATGAATTGAATGATGAGAGAAAGTTAAATTAAAAAAATTAATGAGAAAAGATTGTTTCTATATTATAGAATTTAAAATAAATAAATAAATAATTTGGATTGGTACTCGGCACTCTAATTACCATTATTCATAGGAAGACAAACATTAATGAGTTTGTTTTAGCATAGTTATAATTTTTTATATAAGTTTTGATTGAGTAAAGTCTTTTATGAAATGTTGAATAGTAAATTTATTTAAAATAATTACAAAAAATATTAAATTTAGAATTAGTTTTGATAGTAAAGGACATGCTTTAGCTAGAAGCAAAAAAACTTTACTTCATGTATAATTTAGAGGAAATAGAAAGGAGATCAGAATGGAAAGAATATGCCTTCAATCATTTGGTTAAATTAAAATTAAAAGATAAAATAAAATAAAATAAAATACAATAGGCCATATCAAGTATTCGATTATTGTTCGGCTTAATTCAATTATTAATTTATTAACTATTAGCTTAATTTTATTTTAGTCTAAAAAGTTTATTTTCTTTCTAAATGGTTTATAAACTTTGGAGAATATTTTAAAATAGTCTACCGTACAAAACTTCTATTAAATTTAAATGAAAAAAGTAGTCTTTTAAGTTTTGAAAAAGTGACACTATAATTATAATAAAATATAATGACTCAAGAAATATTTTATAGGGATAAATTAATTAAAATTTATAATAAACTTAAGCAACTAACTCAATTCAAACAGAGAAATTTAGTAAGTTTAGAACAATAAGTTTCAAGAGTAAAATTGTTTTATAGAGTAGATTGTATGCAGTATATCTTGTAAAAATATTTAAATATTCCTAAAAAATAGTATAAAAATAAAATTAAGG